GTGGATTTGAAGGGCCCGTTTCCTCTCAGGAAATGTCGTGATCATTGTAATGAGCCAGTTCTGCCATTTTGGGGCCTTTCTGGGGCCTTTTTGGGGCCTTTTCTTACCCCCCAGGGGCTGAAGTCCTTTATAAAGGCCTTTTTAACCCCATTTTAGATCTCAATTTTGTGAAAAAGTGGATTGAAAGGTCATTTTTCTCTCAGCAAATGCCATGATCGTGGTAGGGAATGAGCCAGTTCCGCCATTTTGGGGCCTTTTGGGGCCTTTTCTTACTCCCCTGGGTAAGAAAAGGGGAGATTTTTACCCTTTTTACCCTTTTTTAAACCTCAATCTTGTGGAAAAAGTGGATTTCAAGTCTTTTTTTCTCTCAGCAAATGCCAGTGATCATCGCGGGAAATGAGCAGCAGCAGAAGAAGTACCTGGGGAGGATGACGGAGGAGCCCATGATGTGTGTGAGTTTTGCTTAAAATGTCCCCAAAATCACATTAATCTCTTTTTTTTTGTTTGTTTAAAACACAGATATTTGCTCCTGCCTCAGCCCTGTGTTGGTTTGTGGTATTTACTGCAGGACAAGGAACGTTAAATTCAATTTATTCCATGAGCAAAGGCTGTTCAATTCCATGTATTCACTGAGGAAACAGAAAATATTCCTTGAAAAATCATCCTAAATCACTGAAAATTAATAATTTTTGTGGTAATATATTATTTTAGGGGGTTTTGCCGTAGTATTTTAGGGTTTTTTTGCTGGAATATTTTAGGGTTTTTTTTTCTGGAATATTTTAGGATTTTGTGCCTTAATATTTTAGCGGGTTTTTTTGCTGGAATATTTTAGGGGTTTTTGTTGTAATATTTTTTATTTTAGGGCTTTTTTGCCCTAATAGTTTAGGGTTTTTTTGTCTCGTAACATTTTATTTTAGTTTTTTTTTCCTAAATATTTTATTTTAGGTTTTTTTTTCCTGTAATATTTAATTTTAGGGTTTCTTTTCTGTAATTTTATAGAGGGATTTTTGCTGCAATATTTTAGGGCTTTTTGCCATAATTCAGGTGGGGTTTTTCCCCTTGATATTTCAGGGTGTTTTGCTGTAATATTTTAGGCTTTTTTTGCCATAATTTTTTAGGGTTATTTTGCCATAATATTTTAAGATTTCGTGCTTTAAAATGTTAGGGCTTTTTTTCCTGCAATATTTTAGGATTTTGTGCTTCAATTTTTTTTTTTGACATCGTATTTTAGGGATTTTTGCTGTAATTTTAGGCTTTTTTTTTCCATAACATTTTTGTGGGGTTTTTTTCCTATAATATATTAGGTTGGGTTTTTTTTGCTGCAATATTTTAGGTTTTTTTTGCCCTAGTGTTTTTGGTGTTTTGTGCTTTAACATTTTAGTTTTTTTTTTCTGTAATATTTTAGTGGTTTTTTCCTGTAACATTTCAGGGGTTGTTCTTGGTATAATTTTATTTCCGGATTTTTTTTCCCTGATGTGTTTGGGGTTTTTCCCTGTAACATTTCAGGGATTTTTCTCTGCATAATTTTATTTCAGGATTTTTTTTCCCTAATGTATTTGGGTCTTTTCCCATAATATTTTAGGTTTGTTTTTTATTTTTGTCATATTTCAGGGTATTTTTCTGTGGTATCGTGGGCCCTTCCCCTCACACTCGCCGCCCCCGATCCCTCCACCCCTGGGGTTGCCCCAAATGAGGATTTCCGTTGCGGGGGGTGTTTTTTTGCCCGTTTTCCCTGTTTTTCCAGGCGTACTGCGTGACGGAGCCGGGGGCGGGCTCGGACGTGGCCGGGATCAAGACGAAGGCCGAGCGCAAGGGGGACGAGTACGTCATCAACGGGCAGAAGATGTGGATCACCAACGGCGGCAAGGCCAACTGGTGGGGCCCAAACTCACCTCAATCTGTCTTAAATCCCCAAACCCGTCCCCTCTCACCCCCAGAAACCTTCTAGTTTGAGGGAGGTAACGCCACAGCCTCCATTTTTCCTTTACTTTCAAGTTTTTCCTTTATTTTCTTGAGTTTTTCCTTTATTTTCTCGCGTTTTTCCTTTATTTTCTTGAGTTTTCCTTTACTTTTTTGAATTTTCCTTTATTTTCTTGAGTTTTTCCTTTATTTTCTCCAGTTTTCCTTTACTTTTTTGAATTTTCCTTTATTTTCTCAAGTTTTTCCTTTCTCGAGTTTTCCTTTACTTTCTTAATTTTTCCTTTGTTTCTTTGATTTTTTATTTTTTAAGTTTTTCCTTTACTTTTTAAAGTTTTTTCTTTATTTTCTTGAGTTTTTCTTGTATATTCTTGAGTTTTTCCTTTTTATTCTTCAGTTTTCCTTTACTTTTTTGAATTTTCCTTTATTTTCTTGAGTTTTTCCTTTATTTTCTTGAGTTTTCCTTTACTTTTTTGAATTTTCCTTTATTTTCTCGAGTTTTTAATTTATTTTCTTAATTTTTCCTTTGTTTCCTTGGTTTTTTATTTTTAAAGTTTTTCCTTTTTAATGTTTTTTCTTTATTTCCTTGAGTTTTTCCTGTATTTTCTTGAGTTTTTCCTTTTTATTCTTCAGTTTTTCCTGTATTGTTGTGGGTTTTCCTTTATTTTCTTGAGTTTTTCCTTTATTTTCTCCAGTTTTCCTTTACCTTTTTGAATTTTCCTTTATTTTCTTGAGTATTTCCTT